GAAATTACGGTTTAAGTACAGTGACTATGGGTTCAATCGCACTTCGATAATTTATATACTACATACTTATTAAAAGACGTGACACTCAGTCTGTTCAGTGTGATTTAAGGATGGATTCCAACACTGTGACACTTCGATAATTTTTTATTCTATCACACTTCGACAATTTATGTGATTTTAAAGACGAAACTGACATGTCGTTGTCATACATTGAAATGCACTTGAATAAGACGTACTACACGTGACATGGTGTGAAGGCGAAACCAGTCTAAGATGGTTTATGTATGGATTTCAGCGCACTTTGACAAAAAATCATAAACCGATACGACATTGTCATATGAAACTGAAATTCATGTGAGTACCATGGATTCTGTCTCAGTTCAAGAAATGTCGTACCCATGAAAAATTAAAAGTCAAAAAGTGTACTGGTAATTAAAGTTCAAAATTGTACCGACACGTGCAAGAAATCGCAAATGCAAGATTGAAGTACGTCTACATTAAACGCTACAAGGCAACTGTACATTGAACTACGTATAAATTAAACGCTACGAGCCGCAATAATGTAAACTTTCTAAAACGCTATCATTTACAAAATTTGAAGTTCCTACCGATGTCCCCGCGTCCCTTTAGAACCAAACCCGTATAAGGCATTCATAGACGACCCGAAAACAAGGGTTTGTGGCTGTCCCTTCGTCGCCACCCCCGAGAACACCGAAATGTACATCATCCTTACAAACCTACAGGCACCCGCCAAGGACTTACCGATGGCGTCACGCACACAACATGTCACTTGCTCTACCTCATGCCACTTATGAACCTCATCAATTCGAATGACAATCTCCAAATCGGATTGTCCGTTCTCATACAAAAGGCGCAAATTCCCCATGCTGCGACCACAGACTCTCAGGTGGTTGCAAGAAACTAGCACTACAGCGTCTACCAAAGTCCGCTTTCGGTTTGAACATGCCACACATAACACTCTGCAGAAGTCGAAACCGGCCACAGACAACCGTATGCAACAATATGACACATCTTTTGGCTGTGACCCGGCACCACGTAGCGGATATACTTCCAAAAACGGATTGTAGGATGCACAATCCAACAACTCTTGTTTCAAGTCTGCAGACCACACCCGAGATAACCTCGTTATGTTGTCCAGGCGAAGGTAAAACCTGCTATTCTCTTCCTGCCTGAGCACGACGCGCAGGGACGGAAGTTGCCTGACACCAATGGCATAATGAGGTACTTTGATCAGACTTCCCCACTCCATTGCGGAAGCAAATTTGTAGTCCTTATGCCATGGGCATTTCCTTGCCAAGATGTCTCTATCCCATTCTACCTCGGACCACGCATCGATAGGCTTGTCAAAGAAAGGGACGACGGTCATCCACGGGTCGTTTTCGGTATCACCTCCCGAACCATGGAATCCGCATGCACAAGGGTGAATGGGAGATGCATAATCATGCCGATGGTCCATAACTCCTGTCGCACTCCCTACACAAGACATGAAATGCAAACAAAATGAAAATGAAATATCGAAATAGTAGAAAAATCGCCTTCATGATGAACTTGACTTCGAAAATTACTGAACCATCACCAACCATCTTAAAAAATTAAACCGTAGACGGTGGACAAAATTCGCTACGCAAAATTATTGCAACAATAATATGCTCCATTCTGAATTCTCGTCCCTTCAAACAGTTATTTTACAAAAATCTCACTCTCCCACTCTATCGGGCGGATGTGCACTAATCGCTTTTGTCCCCTCCATCTACACTCCCTTCACCAAATGGACCTTCACCAGATGGACTCAGATGGAGAAGTGCAACTTCAGCATTCAGTCGAACACTGGAAGGAATGACAAGTCCAGTTGTGAATGGTCTTGTACCACGGACCGGTCTCTCCCAACCAAAAGCGATCGAGTCAGCATCCTGCCATTGTGTCTGGTTAGTCATTTTCCGTTGTTTTTCCCATGCGTTCTTATACAGTTGTTCGAGCGACTTTGCTCTCCCAGTCGGCACCCAATATTCCACTAGCACTTGATTATAATTTTGCGAATTACAATCAACAACCACCCGAGAAAGAGCTTTGCCCACCCAGATTGGCACATCGCTGGACAGATCATCGTCGGAGGGGCGAAGGATAAGAAAAGTGCCCACGTCGACATGCACGAGGGGGTCGAAACTTGACTTCGGGCGATTTTTTCTTCGTCCAACAAACAGCGGTTCCCTATCATCGTCAATGTTGACACTGTGAGGAGAAGGTTGTTGATCGATTTCGGACAGCTGTGGTCGTGGCCAAAAACTTCCCTGGGGTTGTGAGGACAACCCGTTGGCGATGATCTCATCGCCATGTTTGATAACCTTCTCCCAATAACATAAAGCTGTTTCTCTCCTACTCACCTCATGGTCATTGTAAATGCACCACGTCGACCGCCTACTCTCCAGCAACGCGCGGAATCGAACAACACCATTTTTGCCATTCAAATAGTCATTTCGAGGAAGGGGTTGCACATGAGGCGGGTCAAACGGCCACGAAGGACCAGCATAGCTTTCATCAGGGTTTTGATTGAACCAAAAAATCGGACCTTCCTCGGGCAACCATTCTTCATCATCACAAAACTCCTTATACAACATGCCCAGACTATCTCCAACCATCAAAAATTTAAGCAAGTGCGGTTTTGAAATACCGGTAATGTCTGACGCAACACACGGGTCCACTATACTAATCCAATCTTCCATCGCATCGAGGAAAATACATTTGGGAGACTTTTTGTGGGATTGCTTTATGAGCTCGAATAACTCGTCCATAGTATAAGCGTCTACGTCTTTCAATTTCTTCGAGAAAATGCTGAAAGTAGCGTCAACGTCTGTATGGGTGTGTCCCACCAGCATGAAACCTATTTCTACCTCTTCAAAAACTTCGAACTTAACCAACAGTGCAGCCAGGGCACATATGTATTTGTTCTTGTTTTCCCGCCAACAACTATTTGCTTGAATGCGCAAAAACCGTGGCAGTGGCGTCCCGCTCCCTTGAATTTCGACAAGGGTTCTCATAACACAAGTAGCGACCGTGTTTGAATCGTGTTTGAAATACGAAAACCACGTGTACACATATATACTAGGTTCTCTGCCGTGTGCAATGACGCCTGTCAGATTAATCTTCATCATCATCTCGTGCCTAAGTGCTTTCGAGTAGTTCGCTTGACCAATATGGGGGATAGTTGTTTTCTTCTGATCCATGCCCTCAATGATGAGACACAAACGCTCGTTCAGACGAACCATGGAATCAGTTTTCGCTCGACTGTAGTCCAATCTGTGTTCAACTTGCCTCCTTTGGTGTGCTTTCATATCCTCTCGAACACGTTTTCGATCTCGAGGAAGAGCAGCATATTGTATATGTTCCTTCAGTTCATGACAGACGACGCACTTCATGAACGTGTTAGATTGCGCGAGGGAAACGTGGAAAAAGTGTTTCCGCCACAACTTATAAAAGTTGGACTCAGACACGACATCAAGGCCAGCGACCAGAAAGTCGGATTCGATGGACTCATAAATTGATCTCTTCGTGAAAGCAGCCGGGAGTCGAAGCTTCGGTCTGGAAACCCCACCTTGGTTAGCCACCTCATTCGGCATGCTATCTGCATAACACTCGATGAACGTTCTCATGCTGGCAAGCATGACGACCGTTTTATAGGTTGGCCTATATTTTTCCGTCAGGCCATGCTCGGAACGCACGTAGCCATTGTCGAAACGTTTTTTGTAGCTGTAAAATGTATTACGCGAGACACCGAGTACATTGCAGTACGCCCTGATGCACATTGAATGTTCCAACTCCACACAGCGGACACGTTTCTGTCCACTCTCATTTATTGTGAAATCCTTAATACTTTTCATCCACCACTCAGCTCGCTCTCCCGGACTCTTACTGTACAGTCCTTGTCTAACCTTTCGCACTTTCTCAGGCGACACGTCGTAACAACATCGAGCCTTGCAACATGCCATGCCGCGCACCATGAGCAGTCTTTTTCCGGACAGCATGTTTCTCGCTCTTTTATACTGTTCTTTCCTCCTAGCGTTCCTATTAGCCATGCTATACTTTCGCCTTTCGCCTGACAGAGGTGCGGGCAAAATCTGCAGTATCGCCCTTCTCTCTGCATCACCCCTGCCAGACGATTCCGACCCAGACTCGCTCTGACTTGGAATCGCATCATCACTTCGCATATGCGTTGGACTCGCCCGTGCTGTGGAAAGCTCCTTCGAAGAATAGTCGGTGACAACCAAGTTCGTAGTACTGGAGCTAGCGCGAAGCAAAGGTCCACTGGAATGGGACCGTTGTCCAGACGAGTAATCAGTGGCCACCAACCGCTCACTCTCGTCATCAGACGATGCGTAAGAAACACCCATTGGCACGCAACTGCTGTGCACCGAAGCTGTGGGGTGCACCTCGCCAGGAATGTGGAACTCTATTCGGGAGGTAGACGGTTCTTCGGCCGCGGATGTTGTTGCCAATTCTGTAGGCAGTTGGATGCAACCTCCAAAGCTCTCACGAAAAGCGAGATTTCGTTTTCTGGGGAAATCCGCAGCTGACTGTTGGAACGGCGAACTGTCCGAAGAGGTCGTCGGGGCCAACTCCAGGTGTTGTAGCTGGCAATGCAAGTCGACGGCTTGTTCAGTTTCCATAGCCCGGTTCATGCAGCCATTCGCCGAGCCTTTTTCGGCGCCGTCATACAACTGTCGGTGCAACGGATGCAATTCCCGTCAGCGCAATGGATTATTCTCTCTTGTGCGGGTCGAACGGGTCATTCGAATTCGTGTCCACACCCTGCAAAACAGCGGAGCAAACTGTAAGCACGGTCAGATTTACGCGTTGAGGGCACAAAGTTCGCCAGGATCCGAATTTGGCAGGTGCAGGAGTAGCAAGGAACCTGTTTTCGCGTGGCTTATGTCAGTGGAAGGTAGCGCACGTGGGTGCACACAAGTAACGCTATGTTTGGGCGAACAGAAGGAAGGCTCTGTTGTCGGTGAACGATGGCACGCGCAGAACAGTGGTGGATGCACCACGACATAATTCGGCGTAGCGCGACCCCAAACAGACCCCTATAAACACTGATTCTCACCATCGTCTAAGCGAGCTCGTGTGGTGCTCCATTCGCTGGCACTAGTGCAATAGCGACCCCCGATTCGCGCGCCGGGACCGTCGACGTGCGACAACGCAAACCGGACAGCACGCAGAAACACAAGCATGTCTGCGTCAAGACTTCGCACACCGCAATGGTCAAAACCCTTGGGGGGCAGAAAAGATCGTGGGTGCGAAAAATTGCTCGCCTTCTGAAATGCCCTTGAAAGGGTTTATGGGGGTTGACGACGGTGACAACGGTCGTGTCCCTTACTTTTGGCAACCCCCATGAACCCCTTCAAGGACATTTCAGAGGGCGAACAATTTCTCGCACCCGCAGTCCTCTCTCAATCAACTCACATTTGAAACTCCAGGCGCCATGCGAAGGACGGATAGATTTGCGCCGATCCTCAAAGTCCGCCAGGATCCGAACTTGGCGGATTTGCCTGCAGCGAGTTACAGGTTTTCGCGCGGCTGCAGGTATCGGAACGGGTGGATGACGTTTGCACAGAAGCAGGCGATGCTCGGCCGCACCGCATTTCAGGGCGGCGATGAACGAAGATCCACGGCACATCGGAAATGCACCCGGCCAATGACACCGTTGTCAACCCCAATAAACCCCTTTCAGGGCAACTCACAAGGCGAGCACTTTTCCGCACTACCAGGCCGCCGGCATTGAAGACGGACTGGGCAGTCCAAGCTGTTGAAAATAACGGTCAGATTTACGGGGAGCCTGTAAGTTCGCCGGGATCCGAATTTGGCGGGTACAGGAGTAGCAAGGAACCTGTTTTCGCGCGGCTTGTGTCAGTGGAAGGTAGCTCCAGTTGGTGCACACAAGGAACGCTATATTTGGGCGAACAAAAGGAAGGCTCTATTGTCGGTGAACGATAGCACGCGCAAAACAAAGGGTAGTGGTGGATGCACCACCACACAATTCGGCGCAGCACCCCAAACAGACCCCTATAAACACCGATTATCACCATCGTCTAAGCGAGCTCGTGCGGTGTTCCATTCGCTGGCACTAGTGCAATAGCTATCGAACACGAACATCTCCACTGCGCAGACAAGAAAAATGCAGAAAAGGATGAAAGAACCTCCCTTAAACCCTTCCAAACATTGATTCGGCCAGTCGAGAAGGCGACCCCTGATTCGCGCGCCGGGAACGTCGACGTGCGACAGCGGGAACCGGACAGCACGCAGAAACACAAACATATCTGCGTCAAGACTCCGCACACCACGACGGTCAAAACCCTTGGGGGGGCAGAAAAGATCGTGGGTGCGAAAAATTGCTCGCCTTCTGAAATGCCCTTGAAGGGGTTTATGGGGGTTGCCTTCGGTGACAACGGTCGTGTCCCTTATTTTTGGCAACCCCCATGAACCCCTTCAAGGGCATTTCAGAGGGCGAGCAATTTCTCGCACCCACAGTCCTCTCGCAATCAACTCACAGTCGAAGCTCCAGGCGCCATGCGGAGGACGGATAGGTTTGCGCCGATCCTCAAAGTCTGCCAGGATCCGAACTTGGCGGATTTGCTTGCAGCAAGTTATAGGTTTTCGCGCGGCCGCAGGTATTGGAACCGGTGGATGACGTTTGCACAGAAGCAGGCGATGCTCGGCCGCTCTACATTTCGGGGCGTCGATGAACGAAGATCCACGGCACACCTGAAATCCACCTGGCCAGTGACACCGTTGTCAACCCCAATAAACCCCTTTCAGGGCAACTGACAAGGCGAGAACTTTTCTGCACTACCAGGCCGCCGGCATTGAAGACAGACTGCGCAGTCCAAGCTGTTGAAAATAACGGTCAGATTTACGGGGAGCCTCTACGTTCGCCGGGATCCGAATTTGGCGGGTGTAGGAGTAGCAAGGAACCTGTTTTCGCGCGGCTTGTGTCAGTGGAAGGTAGCGCCAGTGGGTGCACACAAGGGACGCTATGTTTGGGCGAACAAAAGGAAGACTCTGTTGTCGGTGAACGATAGCACGTGCAGAATAATGGGTAGTGGTGGATGCACTACCACACAATTCGGCGCAGCGCGACCCCAAACTGACCCCCATAAACTCGATTCTCACCATCGTCTAAGCGAGCTCGTGCAGTTTTCCATTCACAGGTACCAGCGCAGGAGTTTATCAAACTCGGACATCCCCACTGCGTAGACAAGAAAAATGTAGAAAAGGATGAAACCCTCTGGGGGCAACAAAGATTGACGGCACACAGACAAGGGACACGGCCGCTATCACCGTCGGCAACCCCCATAAACCCCTCGAAGGGCATCTCAGAAGGTGAGCAATTTTTCGCACCCACAGTCCTCGCGCAATCAACTCACACTTGAAGCTCCAGGCCTCATGCGAGCACTTTTGCGTGCCCGGAGGCCTCTGGTAATCAGAACGCACTCGACAGTCGTGGGCGTCGAAAACGGCAGTTAAATTTACGCGGGACCTCAAAGTCCGCCGGGATCTGAACTTGGCGCTTGCTGGACTGGCCAGGAACCGGTTTGCGCGGGGAACGACGGATATTTGGATGACCGGTGTGGAATTGCACAGAAGGAACGCTAGGCTTGACTGCACGTTCAGGGAGACCCTGCTGCTGCTCACAAGTGTTTGTTCCAATAGAGCACGCAGAACAGAAATGGTCGTCGCAGGTGCACCACGTTGGAAATTGGCGCAGCGCGGCCCCCAATAGACCCCCATGGACCTTGATTCTCCTCATCGACAAAGCGAGCACTTGCGGCGATCCAGTCGCAAATGTTGCCATCCTTGATAACAATGATTGCAAGCACAAAAAAAAAATGACCACGGCTGGTGGACCCCCGATTAGTACTGCAGACAAGGCGAGCTCGCAGTCGGGCAATGGCAGGTTCCACAGCCAGGTTCATGGGACCACGTACGGGTGCCAACCACGAAGTCCGCCCGGATCCAAACTTCAGATCGGTTGCCTCGTTCCACCGGGAGCATTAAGTACTTTGTTTTTGTTGGGGTCCCGTTGGGAGGACTTTTTTTTTTTTGCGGCAACGCCAACGAAAGAACAGTCATGCAACCAGGACTCTGAAAAGATCCATGCAAACCGTAAGCGTCTTATTTCAGCGACGCGGTCGAAACAACAATAATCATCCGAGCAGCCCGGGACTTCGCATGCTTCAGATTGCAAGTCCGCCGGGATCTGAACTTCGTCGCACGCTGAAACTGGCATGGCGTTATGACCTAACGACCCCACGCCCGAAAGATGGGAACTGTGTCCCGCAAAACGTAGTCATCAGGGCAACCCGGGATGGCATTGTGACTGCGAACGCGAAACCAACAACCCCTAAAAAAATGGGAATTTTGGATCTCGGCGAACTACAGCAATCATGCGCTATTTTCGCACCTGGGCGTGCTCTCCCTGCGGCCGAGCGACTGCAACAGATTGCTGCTTTCGCGAGAGCACTGCGCATGATTGTTGTCGTTCGTCGGGATCCGAACTTCCCATATCGCCAGGCAACCACACGCCACGCGCTGTTTTTCGTTTGGCTATTGTTGGTTTCGAGCTTGCGGTGACAATTGCGACCCCCCTTGCCCCGATGACTGAGACATTTCCCGGAGGCGGCCGGATTGTTCGTTACTGAACGAGGACATGTTTTCGTGTCAAGGTTGTCGTCACGAAACATGAGGCGCTCACGCTGAAGAAACGCCATCGTCATTGCAGCGATCGGCGCAAGCGTTCTCCATCGCGCGCACGCAACGTGTGCATTCTTCGTTCTGGAGCCCGCGGATGTTGCGCGCACAGTCCTGGCATTTGTCGTGCGGAATGCGATATCGCATCCCTCACGACCAGCGCCAGGAGCGCGCGCTCAACATCCATGGCCTTTGTGGTGGATCATGTGCACGTTGTGTGCGCGGGATGGAGACGACAGCAACTCTCCCAGGATTGACGCCATAGTCTCTTTGGGGAGGGAGGCTCAAGTGTTGCGGCGAGAACACGAACACGGAATGACGACCCCCTCCTGTTTATGAATACCTGACCTCTCACTGCACGCCACGTGGACGGCGGATATCCTTCCCACCTTGGCCACCGCGTGACACTTAGTACCAACAGCGGTCGCGCGCAGCCCATGCGTCTCCTTTGTGATAACCAACCTCTAATCTCTTTGTTGAGAACAGCAAACGAGCGAGGGAAGTGTTTCGAAGGGGTTTCGTGTTCCGCTGGGAATAGGCGATTTCGTGTTTGCCTCGACCGCGCGGGAGTGGTTTGCAATGTCCAGCTTGTGATCAACGACAGTTTTTCTTCAATGCCAAGCCAAACAAGAGTCGTGGGGGCGGTCGCGTGGAACGAATGAGAGAGAAGTAGAACGGGACACGCAAACCGTGTGCCCCGATGTCCACGTCATCCGTTCCCGCCGTCCCAACCACTTGCGACACGTGGCACGACATGATGATAATGATGACGACGGTGATGAACACGATAATAGTGACGATTACGGTGGTGATGTTGATGTGGGTGACGATGTCGCTGACGATGTTGATGTCGATGATGATGTTCGTGATGATGATGATTGTGATGACGACGATGATGATGATGACGATGATGACGATGTTGATGATGGCGATGGCAACGAAGAGGACGATGGTGGTGACGGCGACGATGTCGCTGATGATGATGATGTTGTTGATGACGGTGATGATGTTGTTGATGATGTCGATGATGATGACGATGTTGATGACGTTGATGAGGTTGATGATGATGATGATGTTGATGAAGATGATGATGATCACGATGACAATGATGGTGATGATGATGATGATGATGAAGATGATGACGCTGAAGGTGGTGGCGACGATGATGGTGATGATGGGGGCTATGATGATGATGATGATGGCAAGCAAGAATCACGGGGCCGCTCGCAAGGAAAGAACGAGCGGGAATCAGAAGGGGACACAGAAACCATGTGGCCCAATGTCACCGACATCCTTTCCCTCCGTCCCCGCAACTTGAAACAGGTGGCGCGACGTGGCCGCTCCCATGGGCCGGCAAACATGTTTGACACGAGGGCAGGCAGAACAACACTTTACCTTGAAGAGGGCACAGCGCACACGATGGCGCTGCTCTTTGACGGCTCACAGTTCTTCGACGACGGCGAAGCGCACACGATGGCGCAACTGTTCGACAAGGGCTCAGCGCATACGGCGGTGGCCACTTGCTGACGCAGGACGCAGAGACGAGATGTCGAAGCGGAGACAACCGAACCACAAACGACAGTTGTCGACGAGAGGAARCCCCTGCGCCCACGCCCGCCGCCGCCTGGCGCAACAGTGGAGCAGAAAAGGCGATGGAGGATGTCGCTGACGGGACGTCGAGCGGGAATGCGCTCGTCAGGCTCGAGATGCGAAAGGGCTCCCCCAGACCCGAGGCAATTGAGCGTCAGACTGTCGTCGCACCCGATGGAAAGACCCGCCTGTGTCCCCCCGCACGGCCACAGACCCCGCTCCCCAGCCAGGAGACGCGAATTGCCGCGAACCCCTCCAACCTCCCCTTTCCCCCA